CCTAGAAGAATTTGTTATGACCAAGGATGAATTTTCTGGAGCTGATATCAAGGCAATATGTACTGAAGCTGGATTGCTTGCTCTAAGAGAACGACGTATGAAGGTAAGACCTCAAAATGGGAAGTTATGTTTTTCTTTTAGAAATGAGGGATTTAGTTCGGTCCCAATTTGCACCCAAATGCTCAAAACTTTGGAATTCACCAAGTTCACGTCTTCATTCATGTGTGGGGTTGTATGTTGTAATGTAAATTGATTAGGGAGCATGTTATAATTGGTTCATTAACTTTGGCTCATGTCCCGTAGGGGTTCTTAAAATCATGTTACAGGGGTTCGGTAAAGCTTGGGAGCTAATAGTTTGCATTTTCCTATAGACGTTGACAAAATTATTCTGTTCTCTACAGGTGACTCATGCAGATTTCAAGAAGGCGAAAGATAAGGTGATGTTCAAGAAGAAAGAAGGAGTGCCAGAAGGACTTTACATGTAGTAACTACGCATCGTTTTTTGCTCATATTTGTTCAGGATTTGGTTTAGTTTGTTTCACTGAGAAGGGCATTAGCATTAGGTCTCATTTTGTACGGTGATGTTTCAGTCATTTGGGGTAAAAATTACATTCAGAACATGTGGGTTAGTTACATGAACCGTTTTCAGTATGTGCTATCTTCGTTTTCCACAGTATATTTTCTCAGATCTTCCTAGCTTACAACTCACGATCGTCTATGTTAATTTTGGCACTTATACAAAATTGTTTGGCCACTCCATTGCTACTTGTAGATTCCCTTATTTTCCTGTCCTAAATTGTCAGGGGATTCTATCCATTTTTAGGGTTTGTAGGATGATTGGGAGAGTTGGGGGCGACTAAAGAGAAGAAAAATGGATTAGGGTTTAGAAAATAGTTGTTCACTTTGGTCGCCTCCAACTCTCCTCTTTCTCTTCCAATTATCCTACAAACGCTAAAAATCGACTATGAACGCAATGTATTATGTTTTCATTTCTGAAATAAATTTCTGACTTTTCATTTTTAAATAGTACTATTTGTTACTTGATATGATTGCAACTATATTAATTATTCGATATAAAAGTTAGCAGTTGCGTTTTGTTCTTTCTACAGCTAAATAGTTTTTTCTCAAAATCAGCGTCATCATCCCCATTTGTTTCATTAATTAGTACAGAGGTTCCACCAAGTGAATGCTATGATGACACAATACACAATATATTCGCTAGTTTACTTGTAGCAAATGGGGATGATGACACAATATATCGCTAGTTTATTTGATTTTAATAGGATTTACAGTTCGCAATTAATTTTTGGTATACCAAAAATTAACTGCCAGTAAAACTAAATAAAAGAAAAGGTCATTTTTATTGATGAAATTATGTATAATTTTGTTACTCTCTTCCTAAACTTCTCCAAGATTTGAGGGCCTTCAATAGCAAACTTCTCGAATTGTTGGATGACTTGGATCTCCTAGAGATGTATTGCAATCGTCGAAAATGTTGGTTAGTGCTTTGTGCTTCAGAAAAGATCTCTGGAAAAAACTACGTTGATCACTCTTTGGAAGAACTATGTAGTTGATATTGTAGTTTTCTACAATGCTTGTTGAAGTGTTCGCAGAATACCTCTGAATGTCGTGTCTATCCCCTATTTATAGTTGTAATGGGTGGATTTCCAGTGACAATAAGGACATCAGCATAGGCCAACACAATGTATGTCGCTAGAATGGAAAATGAATAGTGATGAATCAACCTTGGAGGCAAGAAAAACATGAAGTAACACACTACTTAGTTTTGCAAACCAAGCTCGGGGGGTTTGTTTAAGGCCATATAGAGCCTTGTGAAGTCTACAAACATGTTTTGGATATTTTGGATCAACAAACCTGGTAGGTTGAGTCATATAGACCTCCTCATCTAATTCACCATGTATAAAGGCATTCTTGATATCGAGTTGACGTAGTGACCAACCTTTTGATAATGCTAAAGTAAAACCACTCTAATGATAGTAGTCTTCACTACTGGACTGAATGTGTCATGATAATCAATGTCAGGCTCTTGATTAAATCCTTTAACAACTAAATGAGCCTTGTATCGCTCTATAGAACCATCTGTATGGAGCTTAAGTTTAAAACATCCACTTACTACCAACAATGATCTTTGCATTGGATGCGTGCATAAGGGTCCAGGTACCATTTTGGATGAGAGCATTATATTCCTCTTGCATAGCCTTTCTCTAACTTGCATCCTTATTGGTTTGGGAGAAACAAGTAGGCTCGATGGGTAGATCGGAGAATTTGGAAGGGGATATTTGGTGGTCAAGTTGGCTTTAGATTGTGAGTGTTTTGCTCTATATCTAGTGATCATATGGTGTGGGACATAAGTAGTGTTGTGTCGTTCGGACTGAATTGGTAAAGGTGAAGGGACAACACTCGGTAATAAGGGCAAGTCAACAGTGACATTCACAGTCGTAAGTAAATTTGATGACAGTGGTGGAGACTTGGGAGAAATATTAGCTTGAAGAGATTTATTGGATTGATAGATTTTAAGGAATAAAGAGGTGTTGGTGCTGAAAAAGGGGCAATTACATATAACATTGAAGGAACTTGTGAAGGAGGCAGTGGCACGGGCATTGTACTGTTGTTTAGTGCAAACGGAAAAATCGACTCTTCAAAGACAACATGACGAGTGATATAGATTCGACCACTAGGTATATATATGAATTCATTTATAGCCTTTATGTATTGGGCTATAACCAAGAAAGAGACATCGACAAGATCTAAAAGCAAGTTTGTGAGAGTTGAATGGTTGTAAATAAGGATACAAGCACACCCAAATACATTTAAGAAATTATAATCAGGAATTTTCTTATATAATTTCTCAAGAGGTGATATGTTATGAAGGATAAGAGTAGGCATACGATTGATGAGATACACGACAGTAGAAAAGGCATCATCCCAAAAATGAAGAGGAAGTGAGGCATGCACCAATAACGGTTTTCGTTTGGCGGATCCATTTTGTTCATGGATATGAGCACAAGAAATATGATGCAGAATACCAACTTGGTCAAAGAACTTTGAACATTTTAGATATTCTCCACCCCAATCAGATTGAACTACTTTAATTTTGCGTTCAAAATAATTTTCAACTTAAATCGCAGAAAAAATGAGTAGACTTCACTTTTAAAGGACATGGGATAATAACAAGTGAATTTTGTGCGATCATCAATGCAGATAATATAGTAACGAAATTTATTATTTGATAAATAAGGGGCAGGACCCCATGCATCAGGTGAATCAAGTCTAAAGGATTCAAAGACAAATAAGAGGATGATGTAAAAGGTAATTTATGACTTTTTCCTTGTTGACAAGACCCACAAATGCTAGAACTCTTATTTGCTAGAATGGAAAAATCAAGTGTTCTAGCAACACTTTCAACTACGTTTATTGAGGGGTGACGTAATCTATTATGCCAAACGACATCGAAAGAGGATTTGGACAAAGGAAAAAATTGTGGTTTATTTAAGGACTACCAGTTGGATCTTCGGGTGAAAAGAAGCTTGTAAAGGCCATGCTCAAGTCTCCCGGCCTCACAGTAGCACCTTCCTCGTTGCCCGATCGATCCTTCACAACACAAAAGTTAGGATGAAATTCAAAATAAACATTGTTGTCAGCAGTAACTTAATCCACACTTAGTAATTTCAGGGACAAATAAGATTTTATTTAAGTGCAAGGCTCTAGATGACGATAATAATTTAGAATCACCAATATGAGAAATTTTCAAACTAGCTCCATTACCAACCAAAATTTAGTATATATGTACCATGGTAGTCTCCTCTAAGAGCCAAATTGTTGAGATGATCATTTGTAAGATGGTACGTAGCACTAGAATCTGGATACCAAGCTGGATCAGATACAACATTCGGTTGAGCGATGTAGGCAGCCATTTGAGTTTGTGCATGCATGGACTTGATAAGAATTATGATAAAACCTATGCTAACGATTGAGAGACATATGACCAAACTTATTACACACTTGACACTGTGATGAACCTGTAAAATTGTGAGGCTGATGATGTGCATTATTGAACTTGCAACCACTCCTCGACCCCTTCCCGAGCGTCCTCCATAATGCTGATTCAGGTTCGGGTTAGTGTTCTTTTTGTAGCCGTCATCACTTTTAGGATTAATATTTGAAGATTTTGCAGTAAAGTGCACTTGCCTTTGTTCAATAGTACTTAGATTTTCAAGACGTGTCTCATGGCTTAGCAGAAACCCATGTAAGTCAGAAAGGGATATGATTCCAACTCTATAGGTAATGGAGACCACCAACGCATCATAATCGGGACCTAAGCCACCAAGAATATACAATGTAAGATCTTTCTCACTAAGAGGCTGTGCCGCAACGGTCAAGTTATCAGCAATATATTTCATCTTCTGTAAATAGTTTATCATTGATATGGATCCCTTTTTTCGTTGTTGCACCAATCCCTTTGACTGTGACGCGAACATAGTTCCAGGGCTTGCCAAACCTCCATGACTGTGGTACAACCAACAACTTGCCCCAAAACACTCTTTGTGAGTGTTGACAAGAACCAACTCAGGAGAAATTGGTCATGTTTCCGCCATGCCAAATAATTTGGATTAATAGTAGCTTCGGCAGAGGTTTCTTTTATCGAGCTACTTGCAACAAATTTTGATGGACATTTGTGAGACCCACCTACATAACCTTCAAGGCCATGCCCTCTTAGAGTGGATAAAACTTGGGACTTCCACAAAATATAATTATGTCTGTCCAACTTAATAATATTTTTTGGTAATAACTGTGAACTACTACCATTACTCCAACATGAAAACTTCAAAATTACAACCTAAAGAGCACCTCTAGTCCCAACCACCTCTAAGAAGATGTTTAGGACTATCCAGGCCTCAAGCAAAACTATTCCAGGAAAAAACCATAAGCTATTACCAAATACAAACAATTTTATTCTTTTGATCTAAATTATTTACTCTCTAGTTAGTCTTCTCAACAGAGTCTGACACCTCACAACAACCCTTGTGTTCTGGAGAGTGGCTAGTCGAGCTCTCACTTCTTCCTGTATCTGTACAATCGCACAACTTGTACTCACATCTATGCTTCAAAAAATCTTCCAATTCCTTGCTTTCCATGTGTGATAGATCATTGCCCCCCATATTGCCACCACAACTTCCTTTTTGTATTTGCTTCCATTTCCTTCGTTTTATCCATTTCAGACTTTGTGGGACATCCTTCTGAATCATTTGGACCTCTAACCAGTTTGCCAAACCATGTCGAACTGCAGTAATCCATTCACACTCGGAGAAAAGATGTTGAGGAGTTTCTACCACCCCTGCCAAACAAAGACAGCACTTTGTATCCTCCACATGAATGTTCAATCTCATCATTCTAGACTTGGTGAGCAGTCTGTTCTGGTTTGCTAACCATACGATAAATCTATGTTTTGGCTGCATAATTTTTGTCCATATAAGGTTTGCTTCCCAAAGCCTGGTTTGAGCCCCTATCAGTACATTATATCTCCTTGTTACTGAATAAGTGCCACATTTTGTCACCTTGTATTTGTCATTTTGGTACCAATCTACCATCTGAGTTTTCAGAGAGGTTAACTTTCTCCAATACCAACTACAATTGTAGGTGATATGTGATTCCAAATATTTCCATGTTGCTTTATATACACTCTACGTAGCCATTTTACCCAGAGAATGTCTTGTTTTTCTGAAACCTGCAATAATAACTTCCCAACTGAAACTTCATTCCAATTTCTGTACCTGTTAACATTTAGTCCTCCAAATTTCTTTGGGAGGCACACCTTGTCCCAGGCAACCAAATGTGCTTTTCTCTGATCTGTACTACTTCCCCATATAAAATCTTTGCATTTTCTATCCACGGCCTTGAGCACACTTTGAGGTAAGATAAAGACTTCACCTCAAAATTTAAATAGCGAAAAAAAGACAGCGTTAACTACTTGTAGTCTTCCTGCATAAGAGAGCTTCCTAGCATAAACATTTGTAACCCTCTCAGTAATCTTCTCCACTAGTTGGTGACACTCCATCTTACCCCATTTCTTTGAAGATAGTGGAAGCCCAAGATACCTAATAGGTAGAGTACCTAAAGAGTATCCTGTCATTTCTAATATCTCCTCCTTTAAATAATCAGTGATCCCAGCTAGAAAAATATTGGATTTCTCCACATTAGCCACTAATCCAGTGGTATCACCAAAGTTCTCCAAAGCTTCCCGGATTCTTTGAATGGACCTTATATCCCCTTTGCAAAAAATCATTAGATCATCCGCAAATATTAAGTGAGTCAGCCTTTGCTCCTTACACATGGGATGAAATTTGAAATCTGGAAGTTTACTCATTTTGCTAAGTGTCCGAGTGAGATATTCCATAACCACGACAAATAACAGAGGAGAGATTGGATCTCCTTGCCTTAATCCTCTCTGTCCTGCAAAATAGCCATGCCCCTCTCCATTTATCCTTACAGAGAACTTTGTAGAGGATATACACACCATAACCATTTGAATAAATGAACTAGGAAAACCATACCCCTCTAGTGCTTCTATAACAAATTCCCAACTAACCATGTCATATGCCTTTCTCAGGTCGATCTTCATCATACACCTTGGTGAAGTCTTTTTGTTATAGTGCCTCAATAGATCATGACATATCAATACGTTGTGTACTAGAAACCTCCATGTAACAAAAGCTGTTTGTTTATCATACACTAGGCTAGGCAGTACCTCCTTCAATCTTTCACATAATAGTTTAGAGATACATTTATGTCACGCCCCAAACTCAAGGGGCGGAACTGACTCCTAATGCCAAAACTCAGGCCCGAACCGACCCTGCTGAACCATTTGCTACTAGCGCATGACAGTCACATGCAATTAAGAAAACAAACAAGTATATCTCGGCTTAAAACTAAGCCCTCGGCCGGCAAGGCCCCTGTCAACAGATCTACAAAAGAAACAGCTACCCCCAAGAGTTCATATAAAGAAATTGTCAACTAACACAGAAGTCCTGATTGAGCCGTCAAGGCCACCATGATCTCTATACCAAAACTGAAAGCATGTATATAACAAGACAACACATCACACAACCAACAAGCTTCAGCAAACCAACAAACTAGGCCAGCATGGCCATAACGTAGTTATAAACCCCACACACTAGTCTGCAAGCCTCTAAGAGTATTAACGATTGGCAGGACAGGGCCCAAGCCTACCCATAGAAATATGTACAACAAAATCTAACAAACCTCCAAACACTGGCAGCTTTGGAGGAAAGGGGCTAGCCAACGGGATAGAAGTCAATCCTTCTGTTGAGGAGGTTTACTCAGTCGTCTGTCAGGACCTGCATGCATGAATGCAGCGCCCACAGGCAATGGGGCGTTAGTACAAAATAATGTACAGAGTATGAAAGGTAATAGGCTATGATCAAGTATCTTAATATACTGGAATAATCCGATAAATAAATCAAGGATAAGATAAGTGTACTGACCTGCTCATAAATCTAAATTTATCAAAAATAATAAAACAACAACCTAACAGGGCCCTTATAAGCTCGACAGGTACAAACAGCACACAAGACCACTTACTCAGGCCCCCATAAGCCCGGAAGGTGCCAATCAGTCTATATACCCTTATCGATAGTCCCCTAGCCCTGTAGGCAATCACCTAGTCCTCTTAGGCATTAATATAACCCCATAGCAGCACATAGTTCTCTTAGGTATCAACATAGCTTATAGACAACGCATAACCCTCTTAGGCAACAACATAGCCATGTAGGAAGCCCATAGCCTTCTTAGGCGTCAATATAGCCATGTAGGCAACTCATAGCCCTGCTAGGCATCAATATAGCCACATAGGCAACATATAGCCCTTTTAGTTATCCATATGGCCTCGTAGGCAGAACATAGTCCTTCTAGGCATAAATCACATTCATGCAGCTAACCATAATAGCCTCAAGGGCAATAATATCAAATTGTTAAAAGCAAGCAATCTAGTTATAAGCAACCTGTACAAATAGCCTCTAAGTCGTGTCCAACATAGGGACACTACTAAATGAATAAGAATCCTGACAAGGGAGGATTAGATCAACTCGAGCAGCCAATAATCAACAATGACGCTACAAGTATATCAAGTATATTAAGGAACATGTCGTAAGTAGGAAATAACCTTAACATACCTTTTTCGCTAAATTCACGTGGCCAACGACTTTTACTCATAACTCCCTCAATACTACAACAAGGTAGGACCATAATCAACTCACAAAATAAAAGATACCATGACAATACGATAAAAGATATGTATTTTCGTCGCAAATTGCTATTTGCTGCTTATAAAAGCTAGAGTCGATGAAAGAAGGGTCTTACCTCAATCATAGGTTCGTAATACGCCTCAAAACCTTCAAATATATTCAAACCCTTGATGTCACAACACTAAAGTGTGATATGCTACGAAATCGATAAAACAAATTATACCACGATGATGAGCCCAACGCGTAGAACAACTTTCGTCAAGGACTTAAGTCGAGAAAATTTATACTTCACTTGATCCTAGAAATGGGTTTCTCTAATTTCTCTGGTTATTAGCTTAAAAATGAAGAAAAAATTCAAAGAAGACGATATATGCAACTTTCCACCGACCTAGGGCCTCACCTCATGTCCTTGCTTGCGCAGTCCTACGAAAACGTGAATATCTCTCTATTCTGAAGTCATATTAACAAACGGTTTGATGCGTTGGAAACTAGACTCGTAGACCTTCGATTTGATAGTTTGTGGGCCCCATAACTCTTTATAGATTGGGAGAAAACCTCCAACACATTTGACCCAAATTTCAGAGAAATCTTTAAGAAGGAACTTACGTTAACTTCCGCCAACTTTTATTTTGCCACTTACCTAACTTCAAAACTTGAGATGCAACACTTGAAAACTTAAAATAGGACATACCACATCATTCTTAATTTATTACCCACCCTCCTTGTCTTTCCATGGAGATACGAGTATGTTTAGACGTTTCGAAAAGTCGGGGTGTTACAATTTATATAGGATGTTGCAACATGAAATGGGTCTAAAATGACTAGCCGATTGTGGGGCTGGTACTTTGGGAATTAAAGAGATCATTGTAGCATTTAATTGTTTCAAAAGTTCTTCCACTTTCCAGGCCTTTTTGTAGAAATCACTTCCATATCCATCTGGACCAGGGCTCTTATTACTGCCAATGCTAAAAATGGCTTTCTTGACATCATTTTCAGTATATTCCCTTATCAACTCAACCTGCTGAATGAATGTTAAAGTATGGCCATATCTCAGGAAATTCCTTAAAGCCTTTCTCCTGTTGATCTCCTTAGTACCTAGCAAATCTTGGTAAAATGCCACGAATACATTAGCTATGCATTCATGCTTTGTTTGAAGCACTCATGTTCTATCTTTCACTTGCATTATAGCCTGATGCATCTTCTTGTGCTTGATCACAGAAAAGAAGTATCTAGAGTTATCATCCCATAATTGAATCCAAGTTACTTTGCTCCTCTGTTGTAGATACACATATGCTAGATATGAAGATTTTTTGAATTTCTGATACTGCGCCTTTTCCTTTTGTTGTAGATTATTGTCTATGGGGTTAACATGTAGAGTTGACTGTGCTGACGCCAATGCCTCTCTATCTTCATCTGTCTCTGCCACTATATTTCAAAAGTGTTATTTATTCAATTTCCTTAGCTCCACCTTCAATTTTTTTTGCTACTTTACCAATTGGAACATTTTACATTTACTAACATGAACTTCCCAGATTGCTTCTACTATTTCCATAAACTTTGGGTGACTGTACCATACATTACAGTATTTAAATTGTCTAGACTTTCTGTTACCATTAGTTCTCTCTAGCTTCGTTGGACAATGATCGTTTATTCCCTCGTTGAGAAAAGTAGCACTATAATCTGGCATCTTGTTCAACCATATTGTGTTTACAAACACCCAGTCAATCTTCAAAAAAATCCTATTACTTCCTTGCTTATCACTCCATGTGTACCTACTCCCATGTGGAGGGAATTCTATAAGTCCACATTTTCCAATACATGCCTGCATGTCTAGTACTTTGTCCATCGAAACAGGATTCCCACCACAGCTATCATCCTTAAGAATTGAGTTAAAATCACTTATGATGAGCCATGGATCGTTACATCCCATGATCACTCTCTCTAGATACATCCACAAATCCTTCATATCATCCCTGGTATTAAAAGCATACACCACTGTTAGAATGAATGGAATTCTTACTCCATTATGTATTACCCAAAATGTTATTGCTTGAGCACTACTACTTTCTTCCACGACTTGGAACACATTCGGCCTCCAAGTGAGCCAAATTCTTCCATTGTAGTGATGTTGTAAGTTTGTGATAAATTTTCATCCCCCAAACATTTTCCTTGCAATTTCCTTGATCTTTCCAACTTTTATTTTTGTTTCAACCAGCCCAATTAGTCCTACCCTCTCTTTATTGCAAAAGATATTAACCTCCTTTTGCTTATTAGGGCCACTGAGACCCCTAATGTTCCAGCATATCATGTTATCCATTCCCAATAATAGGGATATTACTGCCTCTCACATTTCTGGATTGACTTGTTACTTCCTTTGTGTTTATTAATTCTTGGTTCAGAACTTGGAAAGTGTTCTTAACCAGCCCCATCTGCCTTTTCTTGTAGTGTTCTTGTTGTACATTTGTTGGCATATGTATCCTTGTTGGCGTAATCCATTCAGTATTACCTTGCTTTGTTGGAGATAGCATCTTCGTCATCTTCTCAGTTCCTGTCTTCGCACCCCAACTTGTGTAGCTTGTGGCATTCATTCATCTGTCTTAGCCTTTCCTTTCTTGACCCTGGTCCGATCCTGGTCTTTTTCCTCTCCTGGTGGTTTATTCTTCCTGCATTCCTTTATATTATGCCCATACTTTTTGCAAAATTTACATATTATAGGCTTCCAATCATATTGAACTTTCTGCTCCACCAAATTCACCCTTTCATTTTTAAACATCACCATTTCTGGAAAGTCCGTATCAATGTCCACTTCAATAAGGAGTCTTGCAAAATTCAACCCTTATTTCTTTTCAGTGTGACTGTATACCATCAAAGGTTTCCCGATGAGACTTCTAATTTTACTCAAACCGATTGGGCTCCAGTACTTGAAATCCAGGCCAGGTAGCTTAACCCATATTAGCACTGAGTGAAGTTCATTCCTTGTGAACCCCATCTCAGGGGACCATGCCTCTACAATAAACGGCTTGTTGTCGAAATGGTATATTCCTCCTTGAACAACATCATCCTTACCTGTTGTAGTTTCAAATTTAACAATAATTATGTCATTTTGTAGCATTACAACCTTGTTGATACCCTACTTTGCCCACATACGTTGGATAAAACCATTCAACACAGCAAAATGGGGATGATCCCCAAGCACATAGCAGATTACAGAGTGTTTCCAATAGTCTATTTTAGTACCAATATCTTCAATTTCGATTTCACATACAAGAATCTCCCCTTGCATTTTGGCACAACATAATCCAATTTGAACCCCGCATTTGAGATCTTAGTAATATCAAAATTATCCCAGATAGATGGC